GTCACAAATCAATTATTTTCTAGAAAATTTCAAACCTAACTGTAAAATGTCAAATTGTGGGTTAAAACTGGGGGGCATGCCCCACTGTAACCCCAAAGATTGTTTTACTTGGTCCAGAGGCACAAAGCATTTTGATTGGTCTATCTCCGACGGAGACGTCTCCGGGTAGATACTGTGGCAGCTCAAAAACGCCGGCACTGACAGGTCAAGATATCAGACGATCAGATTCCAGGAACCCAACACTTTCCCGCGCTCTTTTCGTGCCAGGTCGAGCCGTTTGTATCACGGGATGGGCGATGGGAGATAGTGTGAGAGGGTGAGGCACGAGCCGCTTCTGTGTTTTATGAGGAATAGATCTAGAAAGGTGGGGTAGAGGGGAAACTCGGCTCTTTTACGTGTTGTATCGTGGTTTGTATCTTCACACAGGGATAGGTGTTCCAGAAACTGTGTTTTTGTGTAAGTATGTGTGTATGTGTGTGTATTTGTGTGTGTGTGCCTGTGTGTATGTACATATGAGAGAGAGGGGGAGGGAGTCAGTTTTTACCTCATACTAGCATGTGTAGGTTGTCAACAACCACATTAATGAGAGTGTCCAAAAAATCCGCCGTCAAAAACTGCTCCCACTCTCAGCGAGCTTTTAGCAGTTGCGCTCATCAGCAAACAATAGAACATTACCGATAATAAATTCTCCCTGTGTGACCAATTCCTCTGGGACCATATTGCGTCCCGTCAGGGCTTTCAATTATAGTGAACGTTCTTGTTGATTACAGCAGTCATACTTTTATTGGGCCATTAGTGTAAGTGAGCACAACAGATCCCTGAATCTCATATCAGTCTAAAACTGAGCCGTCAACAATACATTTCCAATCTCCCCCCCCCCCCTTTCCCACCGTTTCCATTATTGACCTTCTCACCCTCCCCCTTCGCCTCCTCCTCTCCTTTTCTTCTTCTTCCTCCCCCTACCCCTCTTTTCCCCCATTCCCATTATTGTACTTCTCCACCTCCCCCCCTCTTCTCTTCCTCTCCCTCCTCTTACACCGCCACCCCCCGCCCCCAGTTATTTAAGTGTTGACTTTTGAAACGGTCCAAAATGGCATAATATTGTTTGATATTGGTCTCCATCACAGAGTACAGAGAGCGCAGGCGAACTAACTGAAGGTGCTAAAGTAGAAATTATTTCTCTGAAACCACTAATCGAATGTTTGATTATTCTAATAATGATGAGCCTAACCATTAAGATATGTTTGTCATTAACGCGTCATGTAGTCAGGTGACCAATTGTATCGTTTTTTATGCTCTTTTGTGGAAATGAGTGCGTTCTCGGGTCCCTTTTTTTATTTTTTCGCTTTGGGTAGTGACGTTCTGAATATAGGTGTTTTACACCTCCACCGACACAATGTAGATCATTTAGTGGGTCCATTCCCACCTCGGTGAAGTGAGGAAATTTCGTGTGTAAGGTGCCTTTCTCAGGGACACAACGTCGGGCCCCTGACAGGATTCGAACCTACGACCATACGGTTGCGAGTCTGAGAGCCTAACCATTAGGTCATCCTTTGAACCACAAATGGCGTAATCAAAGAGTGAGCTCGACAGACGAGCGCGATAAGAACGGAACCATTCCCGAGTAATACAACCATGGAACCGGAAGCTGTTTTGTCAATATTTGACCATAAATCTGACAAGCCAGGATGGAGGCAGTTACGTCTCCGGGGAGGATACAAGTGCTGCTGCTAGTGTTTTGGAGCTCGAAAACAGGTCAATGGAGGTGATGTCTGAGGTGTAGCGGTTCATGTCATACATCTCCCGAGATCAGAGCACGTTAAGAAAGTATTATACAGTCGAAGCTGTCTAAAACGACCACCATTGTCGTGAAGAAAACTCGTGGCCGAGTTAGACAGGTGCACGACTAACACAGTGTCATTATAATGTACAGAAGACACAAGAGGGGAAATGGGTTGTGGCCGTCTGTACAGGTGATTGTGTTTTACAGGTGGCTGATAGAGAAGATTCGATTGGATTTGATCTTTATTTTTCATGACAATGTTCCATGGCTTGAAATTACCCCTCCCCCCTTTTCCTACCCCCCGCCTCCACAACCCCACCCAACCACCGCCCTCTTTCCCCCACGAAGACTGTTCAGGCCCCTGCCAACGATGCCACACCACTTCCCAGATCTATAATCTCCGCATACCGCACTCAGTGTTTTTGCTTTTCTCTCAATTTTCGTGTACCACTGTTCCCAATCATGACCGGTGTCTTAGTGACGGCTTCACTTCTACGGAACATCGGAGGGTTGTCGTGCTTTATTCTCAAGGAGAATGGGACTGCTTCCTTGTGTCTTAGTTTCCGTTAAAAACATCTTATCAACACCCTAATGGATATTTAGACCTACCGAAAAGCAAGGATGATAAACAGATTAAAAATAGGAAACAGGTTATCCATCGATCGATCTATCTATCTGTAAGCACAAACGTCTAAATGCAGAGGGCGCAACTACATTACCGTTCCGTCTTTCTCTCTCTCTCTCTCTCTCTCTCTCTCTC